ATGGATTGAAAGGGCCTGGGTCTCCAGTCTCCTGCTGAGTGTGCTGCACTGTGTGGTGTGGTGTGCCCAAGGGCTGGGGCAGCCAGAGGTCGAGCTGGAGTGTGAGTGACCAAGGAGGGTCACTGCAGTGGCTGTGGTGCATTGTGCCCAAGGGCTGGGGCAGCTAAAAGCCAACATTGAGCCAGGATATTGTACCGAGTGAGGGCAGAGTGGGTATGGGCTGGGGTGACCGATACTCCCTTCTGTATTTCTCTGTGTTCCCTTGTGAGAATGAGTGGTACTGCTGAGTGAGGGAGAGAAAGGCTCCTCTATGGTGCCCTTGCTGTTGTATAGTGGTTCTTGTATTGGTATTCATTGAGCTTGCTAGATGTAAATTGCTTAGTATCACTGAGATTGTTGTTGTTGTATTGAGTTACTATTGTTGATATTTTGCTGTTGTTGATAATATATATAATTAATTACCTCTCTGTTGTTGTGGCCTTAATTCACTAATTAATTACCTAGGGCCAGGGTAATACTCGGCCGTAGACTGAGAGCAGGCTGCCTACCATCCTTTAGTAAGGCAGTGCCCATGGCCGTGCTGATTTACATAAGTGCTTTATTGCTGGCTTCTGCCTCAACATCTCCCCTGTTCATTCAGTAGGTATATTTCTTCTAAAATGTAAATAGCCATTAACTAGTGTGACCCCATTCAATGTCTACTCCCTCACCTGACTGTAACTTTTCAGTTCAGCCATGTTGCAAAATTGCAGAAAAATACACAGCCAGGCTTGATCTCTATATGAAAAAATGATACAAATGAATACAGTTTATCATTAGCTTTACAAATACATCAAATGTTAGGTTAGTTAAATCAACCTTGGGGCAAATATCTCTGACTGAGACACACTAAACCCTCAAATCTTTCCTGCTTTTGGGCTGGGCTTATGACGATAACCATTTCCTTAATCAGTGGAGAGATATAGTTTAATAGTGCCCACCAGGGTTCTGCAATATAATATTTCACTGTCAGTTTATAAACATTCTTTTCTTTCCATTTACCATACTTTTGCTTGGACAAAAACATTCATTTTCCCTCAAATCATTTTACATACTCTCATCTAATCAATGCCATGCATAAAATGAATTCACTCAAATATCTATACAGAGAATGCTGAATTAACATTTCTATAGCATTTAATGAAAGTGGACTCTCATGGCTAAGCTCTCCCACACATAAATTACTTTTACTTGGACTGATTATGTTCATATACAGGTTTTTATTCTTATTCAAAAAGGGTAGTAAGAATAGGAAGGCTTCTGCCTCCAGCTCATATTCATTTCAGCTATTGAGAGCTTCTATGACCTGTATAATAAGTGGAGCATGGTAGGCATGATGGAAACTTGGCACCTAAGACAGGGGCCATCGGGGTTTTTAAATACTGGGGTAAGAATCCTGACCTGGGTGAAGACTAAGTGGAGAACATGAAACACTAGCAATATTTTGCCTTTTTGTTAAGGTTGTTGAGGACAATATGGATAGGATAAATATATTAATTTATCAATTGGGCGATCAGAGCAGTGGATAGGTGCCTACCACTATATTTTTAAAATTAAAAAATCACAAAAATATTCTGCTTATGAACTGGCCAGTTCATGAGGAACATCTCTGTGAAAGCCACATTCAACTCTGCATTGAATGAGTAATTTGATCTGGATGTTACAAATACAATGATCACAAATTATGGGCCCTCATCAGAAAGGAGTGTCTTTCCAGATGAAGGTGGAGGAAATGTATTTCTTTTCTTTGTTGACATCTGAGCTCTTAAAATCAGTAACAAGATCCAATGGAAACTAGAAATTCTGTAATATCACAATAATTAGAATGGAAATACCTTCAACTGTCTATGAGGTCAATGCTTTTGAAATATTTCCCCTCTCCCTGATTTCATTCTGAGCTTGAAACTAAATGCAGCACCAAGACACGTAATAATTCAACTAGCTGGGGAAATTCATGGATTAAACAAGAGAATAGCACTGTACATTTTCAGTCTGAATATGAAGTGCCATTGATAAGCCAAATGCTGTATCAACAGAAAGAAGCACATCTTCAGATGATATTGGCAGCAACATTAAAATCTTCTATATGGATTTCAGGAAAAGGTTGTTAAATCCTCCAAATTGCAGGGAAGAGAAAATGATAGCACACGCCATCATAAACAGTAGGAAATTAATGCCGTTGCTAATGAGGTGTAACTTTCCCTTAAAATGTAGGCTATTTGGCTTGAGGAAACAAAATACAACAAAATTCCTCAAAAAGATCACTTCTTTAATTCTCAAATCAGCAATCCAGTGGCTTTACAGTAGTAAATAAGTTAGTATATGATATGAGCCTTTCTAATTAATTTATTTGCTTCAAGTCATAGCTCATCTTAATACTCTTGCCAAGGTTATATTTCCAGATAGGCTGTCAATTTTGCCATTAACAACACCTGGAATACAGCAATTCCTTTGTTTGATTGATTCACATCTGATTGTTCATTCAGAAACCTTGCTTGAGATCGGTCATTTTTTTTCTCATTCCCCCCTCCATCCCTGACAACTCCCTGTGTGAAACCTGAAATAATTCATGCGTCAGCTACCCAATAAAAAATTATAAACTGTTTTAGTTTCTAATCTAAAGTATATTAGAAGCTGTTCTCTCTTTCTGTCTCCCTTACAAATAGAAAGGGTCAGCCCTAGAACAGAAATAGAGACATAGGCTGCATGACTAACTACATGTCTCAGATTGCGCCAATGTACACGAACTATGTGCCTATCTATCTACAATGTACAGGATCCTGTATTGTCTTCCAACTCTACCAAGCCATATAATAACTATAAAGTTAATGTTTTCTTAAAGTTTTAAATTGTTTATTAAATATAATCTTTTTTAGTTGCAAGTGTTGACACTTGTAGAAAAGAATTGTAGATGGGCTTCTTTTTTGGTGGGGGGAGGGAGTTGTTTGTTGCTTTGTTTCCCCCCCCTCCCACCCCAACTTAACTCTTCCTTTATGCAGAGATACATTGGAATGTAAAAGGTTTGGCTATCCATTTTATTGGGGGTGGGGGGCTGTACAGTTTTGCATTCTTAATAAGGGACATCTCTTTTAAAAGGAAAATGTTGACAGTAGAGGTACCATTCAGCATTTGCACCCAACAAATACTTCATGAAAGGAGCTTTGCTGGATTGACATATTCTATCTTGTAATAGGCACCAAAATCATTTCCTATTGTGCTGATTTATAGTAGTCCATGATAGATGGAATCGTATTGTGAAGCATGCAGCCAGAATAACCTATTTACACCTGCTTCCTTACACTGCTTGAGCTAAGGAATCTAATCTTCAGCTATCAAAGGCAGTACATATCCACTGCATCCAACACACACTGTACTAGTAAGTTGCTCTGTTATTTGTTGAATATAGGTTCTGCCATTTTCTTCTACTACATGCAATACCAGGTGCTCCTTATGTAATATGCTCATTTGACAATCAGAATATTCCCTGATGTGGAGTGGGTGGCTCTACCCCCTCTCAACCTGTCAGGGCTACACTATTAGCCCTGTTAATTTCAAAGTTGCTTTTAGAGGCACAGCACTTTCAGGAAGTATATGAAATGAGCAGCAAACAGCTGGGTAGAGTAAAAATGTAATGAGGATTAATAAGAACTGAAAAGCAAAAGAGTGGGCTGTTCCTACATCAATTAACAGATGAAAAAAAGTTTTAGTGGCTTTAATATTAAAATTTATAGAACTTGGCCTGCTGGAGCTGTAGCAAAGCTCTGTGTCACATCATGCAGAGGTCCATACATTCATTTTTATTAAAAAGACACATTTGTTCACAGAAAGATAGTATAATTATCAAGATCTGTGTGGCTATCTTTTGACTTACACATACAATTTTTAACTAAACCTGTTAAGGTTCTGAGTGCCTTAAGTATGTTTCTTTTAGAGAAAACATTATCTTTGGATGATGGATATAAGCCATGTCTTTGACCCTGATTGCCTATACTTTTTATCATTATTAATATCCTTGACACAATTTTACTCTGTATCCTTTAAAACTGGAATTTACCTTTATGCCCTCTAGGATTAACTAGTTCATCAAGTCTTAATCAGTTTCTCTGAAACAGATGATTTCAGGTTAACGCTTTAACTGTGTGTTGTATTAAATCAGTGGTGCTCTACCTTTTGGCCCTATGGGCCACATAAGCAGCGTGGGGACTGCCTGTAGGCTAAAATACACCCTGGCGCCTTTCCATCTCTCTGCACAATAGAATTGTATCCTAGGCTCCTGGTGCTGCCCCTGTCCAGCCCTTTGTGTGGGGACTGGGTGCAGAATCTGAGACTCCCCACAGGTCTGGAGGCTTGGCAGCAGGGGAGCAGTGCCACCTGCTGCCAAATTTCCCAAACTGTGGGGAGCCGCATGGGTCAGATGGCATAGCAACATGGGCCAGATCTGGCCAATGGGCTGAAGGTTGAACAACCCTGCGTTACACTAATTTAGACATTGTGTTACAAAAAAAGGTATTCAATATTGCTTCAGGCTGCCTTATTTGCATCTAGGCAGGTATAAGCATATCAATGGTAGTAAATTAGTTTAAGGAAAAGGATCATCATAGTTTATTTGTCTGCTGCACTATTAAAAGCGAGTGAGTAGAGTTCATTTTATTTTTTTCACAAGCCATGTTAAGTGCAGTGTTTTAAAACAATGACATATACTGTCATAAAAATACATTCTCTAAAATTAAATTTTAACTTCAGTCCTCAATGCCTTCATAAAACTGTGGACTATTTTAAATCTGACACAGAGAATTGTCCATATCCTGACTTCAGCCATTTGCTGAAAGGGTTAAAAATATTGTAATGCCTATGTCACGACCTGTAAATATACTGAAATTCTGAGGTACATCCCATTCCATTTTAAAGAACATCACGTAGACAACATCAGAAACCTGTTTGAGTATAAATATGTGTTTTACCTGCTTGGTCTTTAAATATTTTTGATACGACGACAGGCACTTTATGCTCAGCACCACCCTGTAAAAAAGGTGCATCAATAATGAAATCTTAATTAACACTTTTATGCCCTAATGATGCTAAAGTTAGAAAGAAAAAATAAAACAAAGGGTTATCCATACCTTTATACTTAAGCCCAAGCCACCAACTGGTTGTCTACGAAGTGTAACAGTTCTGTGCTTTAAAAAATTGTAGAAAAAATAAATTTAGGTGAAAATACAATGTCTAAACATATATATAACATGTATACACTTTAATATGTTAGCTTACACTTAAATAATTACTCATAAGACTTTCACCCCATAAGTCTCAGAGAATGAAATTCCCTCTAAAGAGTTCAAATGTCACAGAAACACATTTAACTGCTTCACATGTTTTTTAAAAAAGGAAACGAAAACGAAACTAAACGAATGCCAAATCCAAAAACTATGTACAGTCCTGAACAGCTATTTGTTCTGGTGTAAGCTTCACCTATACATTTTATTATGCTTTTTCATTGTTATTTTCCTATGTCTAAGATGATACAGACTTTTTCCATGAATATTTGTTCATTTTGTTCTGAGAAATGTTTTCATAGCAAACTCTTAGATGTGTGCACTCATAGCTGGGTTTATTTTCTTTTATTCTTTCAGTTTTTCCTTTTACTTTTCAACTACATACACCTATTTTTCAAATTCCTATCTTGTAACCTGTGACAACTCTCTTACAAAACACATTAAAGACTTCTTGTAGCTGTCTGCTTCTCATGGTTATTTTCTCCAATGCTTCTGCTGAAACACACTCAGGAGATAACATCTTTATAAACATTTTCTATACTAGTCTCTCATGTTTAGTCATAGTGCTCTATATTTGACATTTTGCTCTTGGTAACTGAAATCATAATGGGACTAATATCTTTATTTCATCCCTTGACGAAAGAAAAAGTGGGGGGGAGCACAGTAGTACAGATTTTCTTCTTTAGTGACAAGCTTACCCATTAAGCCACATCTCATCATCCAGAATGCTGACTCTTGGATATTTAATTCTTTCTTACTCTTGTATATTCTCTCTTTTATATTGTTACTTTTAGATTTATATTTGTTACCTGACTGTGACTTTGCTAATACATATGCACAAGTAAATTTAAGTCTTTCAAAACTTTAGTCCAAAGGCCAAACTCTAATCATATTTAACTTCCAGCTTTTTTCTTGTACTTAGCTTAGCATTGTTGCCCTTGATAGTCTCATAAGAATTTCATGCATCACATCCTGATATTACAATGGTAAAGCTAACGTATGTCTACAAAAATACCTTTATCATGGTCTGGGACATTCCAAGGCCGAATCACATGATGGCAGAATATGTTAAAAATACACCTAAAGTTAATAAATAATGGCCTAAGGTACATCTTAACATGTTTCAAATATATATGACTCAACTTCAGATCAAATGGCTCTAGCTTTGGCATAAGTTTGACTCCAGCTCTGAACCTTCTAGTTGACCCATGTCTCCACTGTGTTCTAGACCAATGCTGTGACTCCAAACATTCCTAACCAGTGAGAAATGTCCAGTCAAAATCGGAATATGGAACTTAGATGCATCCGCTCCTGTATTTTCATTTGTGTCTTTAACACTCAGGAAAATTGCTCAGTGGATAACAGGTTGAAACCATCTCTTTTCTCTGAATTTTGTAGAGAGTCAAGACAGAGGGCACTGATACAGGCAAAGAGTTTCATGTTCACAAGAGTGCTGATATATAAATGGCTGAAAACTGGTCAGGTCAGATTAGGTAGACAGTTGACAGTACATAGGGTGAATAGGGAAGATTAGAGGCAATGAAAGGGGTTAATTCCATTGAACTATGACACAGTTATGCATGTGTGCTGTTGTTATGTACTAATAACTTTAGGCTACATGTAAAATGTTATATAAATAATGGACATTTTTCTTTGGGAAACAGATATCTTATGCTGTTGGGCAACAATGGAAGTGAACAGGCAATAATATTAAATAGTAAAGTCACTATGGCACATGAAGGTGAATATTACACACTGTAAATCCAGTCCTCCTGCCCTTCCCAAACCTCTGTTATTATGCCACTTTTTTCATTTTCCCATTTCCAGTGCAATGACTCCTCAACATGCTGCATGGATCCTAATGATCCCCTGGCACTTTCCTTAAGGGAGGACACCATTCAGATGTCTTGGCTCATGTCTTACCTCCCTCCACTTTGTACTGTGTGCCAATTAGCTGCTATATTCACCCTTTAAGTTACCTGTCCTTTGACAATAACAGTAATCATTGGACTCCAAACTATTATCTGCATCATTTTTAACAATTTATGACAGGAAATTAAAACTTTTTTACTGACTTACTCTGCTTTCTAGTCAAATACTATAAGTCTAGACAGACCTTTAAAAGAGCCACACCAAGGATAAGTCTTGTTTACTAATTTTATTGTAAATTCTACTACAGTGTTTCTTCAAGAAGGTGACTATGCATACGCTTAGCTCTGCAAACAAATTAAACCAAAGGAAGAGCTATGGTTGAGAAAATGAATATAAATTCCCTCACCACATTGTAACACTTAATTATCTGATGTTCCAATATATATAGGCTGGAAGGATATCATTAGGAATTTCTCTAAGCTAAAAGGAAACAAAAAGTAATCTACTGATATTTTTCCATGCAATTTATTTATAATTAACATGCATGTGCGTACATCATTGACAGATACATTTCTTAAATGGTAATACTGAGGATAAAATATATATCTTGGAGATGAATAGTATTTAATGTATGCAATTTGCATAATATCTATATTTAGTTTTGCGGCATCTGGCATTTAAATTACTTCAATGTATAGCATGGCTCATTACATAGTTTCAAATATTTATATTAAAGCCAGTTTCAAAAAATTGCTTGCATCCTTTTAAAAATGTCAGCTATTTTAAATAAAATTACAGAAAAAATACAACATTTAAACAATGGGACAAGACTAACCTATACAGAAAAGATGGGCTCTATCTAAATCAGAATGAAACCAGACATTAGCACTAAAAATTAAAAGAGTCATAGAGCAGTTTTTAAACTAAAAAGTGGGGGGAAACCAGCAAGTCCAGAATAGCACACAGGTTAGGTTGATGCAATCCCAAACGGGGGCATCATACAGATTCTATACTGCCTTGAAGAAGATAGTAGAGTAAGAAGTATAACTATAGATAATAGGGGATAAGTCATAACATCTAGACTAGGTACAGACATTCAAAAAGCCCGAGGCAGAATTGATCAGTTACACAGTTTTCTGTAAGTGGCATCGTTTAGACTGGTAGTGAACCGAGCACACATTCCCTTTCTGTGCGGTAGTGCAGGGGAGCATATCTTAGGCTGGATTCTGCCATTTTTAAATTAGTCTATGTTTGCCAAATTTCTGTTCTGTTATGGGTATGGACTGGTTTCTGAACATTTATTTCAGTAAAAGTGTAATGCCTGTACCTAGTCCTAGAGTTCCAGTCAGATAGCACGAGCAGTAACGAGCAGATCAGCAAGTATAAAATTTGTGAGTGCTTCTACACAACTGCCAGAAGCCTGAAAAAAAAGATGGATGAGCTAAAACATCTGGTATTAAATTGTGACTTGGACATAATAGGCATCTCAGAGACTTAGTGGAGGATGATAAGCAATGGGATACTGTTATAATGGTTAAAAACTTCATCAGAATGACTGAGTAGGACATGCAGGTGAAGAAGTGAGTGGCACTGTATGTTAAGATTAGCATACACAGTAATAACATAAAAATCTTGTTTGAAGGGAGAGCTACCATAGAATCGCTGTGGATGGAAATCCCATACTTGAAAAAAACAAATATAGTACAACTCTTGTACTACCAAACACCTGGTCAGGAACATCAATGTCATTATGAAATCAGCAGGGAGATTTGAAAAGCTACTAAAATGGGCTAAGCCATAATAATGGGAGACTTCAACTTTCCTACATGGGTAAACACCACATCATGGCGAGATGTGGAGATAAAATTTCTGGATGTGATAAATGATTGCATTCTGGAACAACTCATTTTGCAACTCACAAAAAGTAAAGCAATTCTAGGCTGAATCCTGAGTAACACACAGGACCTTATTCAAGAGTTACCTTTAGGTGAGACGCTCAGTAACAGCAAACATAACAGTCCACCGTGTCATTATACAACTTTAGGAAGGGAAATGACACAGAAACGAGGAAGCTGCTCAGAAAGAAGCTTAAAGTAGCAGTCAAAAACTTTAAAGGGCTGCAGGCATCTTGAAAGCTGTTTAAAAATACCATCTTAGAGGCTCAGGAAAAATGCATAACTTAAATCAAAAAGGGCACCAAGTGGATTGATAAAACCCTTGCGCAATTTAACAGCAGAGTTAAGGAAGCTATTCAAGGCAAAGAGATGTCCTTTAGAAAATGACAATTGTGCAGAAGTGAGGAAAGTAAGAAAGCTCACAAAACACTAGCAGGTCAAGTGTAAAAGTGAAATAAGGCAGACTAAAAAAGGAATATGAGAGTGTCTAGCAAAAGACACTTAAGTTAATCATAAAAACATTTTTAAATATAACACAAGCAGGAAGCAAACTAGAGAATGAGTGGGAGCATTAGATGATTGCCAGGGTATTAGCACACAACATACTGGGGAAATCCCTATGCCATATGAAACCTTCCTAGTAGATAGGTCTAAAAAGTTGGACCATAATTAAGGTGACAAAAGAAGAAGTTTTAGAGCAGATTAATAAATAAATATTAATAGCACCAGGACCAGATGACATTCACCCAGGAGTTCTGAATGAACTCAAAGGTGAAAGTGCAGAACTGTGTGTAGCCTATCTTTACAAACAGCCTGTGTGCCAGAGAACTGGTGCATCATCAACATAACACCTATCTTCTAAAAGTGTCTCAGAGGTGATTCTAGGAACTACTGACCTCTTCTATCTAGTGTTCACTTCCATTCCTGGCAAGTTGGTAGAAATTATAATAAAGAATAAAATTGGCAGTTGCATGGATAAATATGATCCACTGGGGAAAAGTCAGCATGATTTTTGTAAAGGGAAATTTTGTCTCACCAATCTACTGGATTTTTTAAAGAGTGTTAATAAGCACATGGACAAGGGGGATTCAGTCGACATAATATATCTGGACTTTCAAAAAGCTCTCAATGAGGTCC